AAAAATACATAAAAATATAACTCCTAAACTTTGTGCAAAACTTACGAAAATTCAGCAAATTTTCATGCAAATTTTCAACCTTTTAAACAGATTTTTTAGAATTTGTTTGAGTATACAGATTTGTAGCCCAATCAATTTTATTATAATAAAGTACAAGTTTTAAGTAGCTAGGAATTACCGTTGCGTTTGGCAATTTTTTTTTTCACGCAGTCTCTTCCATACAAAAAATTTGATGTGCCAATACTTTGTTCGGGCAGGTATATTTTTTTGAAAAATGTTTGCTAAAAAGGTGAAAGAAATTTTTTACAGAAATAAATTGGTACTCGAATCTATAAAATCTGATGTGTGTGAAACAACGTATAAAACCAGCGGCAGATTACCAAAAACAACGTCACAGCAAACAAATAGAAAACAATAAACAAAAAACCCAGTGCTTAATTGAGACACAAAACAGAGGAGATAAAAGCAAACAAAAAACCACTAATTCAACCAAACCAAAAACTGCTGGCGCGAAACTTGATAAATACCACCACATATATAAAATGTGAAATACCACTTCTCTACACACTTTAAATGAAGGCTGAGAAGACAAAAGGACTACATAGTATATGTATGTGAGTATGCTTACTGCTCAAACGCATACGCAGCGACCGATAAACGTTACGAAAGGACATTGTGTCACGTCGTCGTCGACGTGCCTCCGCCTGACGTTCACGTTCACGTATACGATTTTGACGACGTATGGCCCGCTCTTCAGCAGCAGTTGCGCTACTTTTTCGACGTCCCGATGCGTAGCACGATGACGACGACGAAGTGCCAGCAGCAGCTGCAGCACCGCTCCCACCACCCTCGGCCCCACCGTAATTACTCTCACCGACGGTCGCAAAAGCGATACTCTCCGCAGAGGAACTTTTACGTTTGACGAAACCCAGGCTGAATGGTTGTGCTTAAACGAGTGGGGTGTACGAGTATGGAAGGTGTAAAGAGTATAGAGTAGAGAGTGCTGTAGCAGGCGAAAGGCAGTTGATGATTTTGCGCTGGCTGAGAAGATGCTGGCGATTTGTTTATTTTATTGAATTTAACTAGATGCTGTTTTTAATTCTTACAAATATTGCTTTCACTTTACACAAAGTGCTTGCTCTCACTATTTTAGTATCTTAGCACCACTTGTGAAAAACGTTTATTTTGTTACTCTCGTTTTTTCGCTACATTTTTGTTTACACTCGTTCCTTTTCTTTCAGTTTTTCGCACAATTGTTGCTTCAGTGAAATTTGTTTGAAGGTACTCTTTTAGCTGCCTTCCTTTTCGTCTTGTTGTTTTGCTGGATCTCTGCGTTTTCCAGTTTGACCTCTCTTCACTGCTTGTCAAATTTGAACCTCTTCTTTTTCTCACTCTCCATTTGCTCAGGATTTGTGACGCATGACTTTCGAAACTTAGCTCGGGACGGCAGCATTTTATTTACAAAATTTATTTCTTTCTTTTCTTTTTTTGCGGTATATTTTAAAATAGTTTGAGTTTCAACGGTTTATTTAAATCTAAATAATTTGAGGAAAAAGTAAGTTTGAAATTTTTAATTAAGTTATAATTTTAATTGAATTGATCTTTCTAGCGTACTTTTTTCATTATTAATGGTACATCGCTAGGTTAGAGTGAAAAGTTGCTAAGTCCTCTTTTAAAAATTTGACAAGAGAGGAAAAATAGTCCTTCGAGCCATTTTCTTCAAATTTTCGCCAAGCTTTGAACACAACATTTTGCGTATTTAAAGCAACAAAATATTCCTTAAGAATCGGAGGGATTCGATCATTATTAAATGATTTCGTATTATTTTTGCCTTATCGGATTTTCGGCGCATCTTTTGGACTTAGCAAATTTGCCTTTCGATAAATATAAACGAACAAAAATAAGCATGTACCTCAATCCTTTTCGAAACGATACATTTGTTATTTCTCTTCCTACCTTTATTAAAATATGAGTTGTCAAAAAAAAGGACTTAGCAACTTTTCACTCTAAACTAGCGATATATTTAAGTACGTATATCTATCTATCTATATATTTTTCACAGCCAAGTACATGTGAAAATCTGTGTTCTTTTTACTATTTCGCAATTTTTTAACTTTCTTAAAAAAAAATATTTCTTATCAAGGCTTAAAAAATTTAGTTTTCGAAAATGGATTGCGTGAAAAACACTTTTAAGTCAAAAACTAATTTTACATATTATTTTAATTTTTAATCTCAAATAAGTATACTAGAAAATTTAAAAATTTTAGAGCTCTAGACAATTGAAAACATCATGGAAGTTCTCAAAACAAAACTTCAAAAATCGGATTTGCCACAATTGATTTAGTTTACTTTAGAAATAATTTTTTAACTACCATGAATAATATAAAATTTTCTTATATATGTATGTGCAGTTTAGAGTTTCAAAAATAAGATTTTAAGGTTTGATTTTTTCTTATTTGAAAATTATTATTTTTAATTACCATGAATAATATAAAATTTAAAACAACTTTTTCTGACTAAAGTAATTTGTATTTTAATTTTTGGCAATAAAAATATGATTTCGAAATATTTCCTAAAAATTATACATATTTTTAATTTAGCGATAGTTTACAATTCGTATTAATTCGATTTTTTTTATTTCAAATTTTAAACTCATTTGTTCAAACATCTTTGAACACTGGTTCGTAGGTAAGCCGATTTTACGTAAGAAATTTAAGTGATAGATAACTCTTTTATTTGAATTTAATATGAAAAAGTCATTTTTCACTTAATTTGCTGGTGCAAATTCAAATTTATATTTTTAAAAATTTTGATTTTTTTTCAATTCTAATTTTTTATTTTTATTTTATTTTTTCAATTAAACATTTTGCATTCAACTTTTCATTTCTAATATTTCCCAATAGGCGCACTACTTTTAGTCATAGTTTTTTCACCACACTCTCTTCACTCGCCTTGCCACAGCTACTTCGTATAGGATCTGACTATTTTTAGTTTCAAAGTGGAAATGGTCTCAACGTCATTGTTGTTATCGGACATTAAATTGCCAGTGTGAATGAAAAACGCCAATTAGCCGCACATATCCTGTTGTTGAAGGACATCGCATTTTGTTATTTTCTCATTTTGTAGCATTTGCGTTGGAGCGTAAGCTCCACATGTTCACATTTTTCAATTACTTTTGTACATTAAATATGCATACACATATAAGAAACAAAAATAGATTTTTCCACCGAATAAATAAACTAAACAGGATATGCGCCGTTATTTCACATGCACAGCCATTGGTACAAAGCGACGCATGATATTTCAGCGCTCAGCAGGTGGCTACGCCCCGGTGGAGTTTGTACGTACGTATGGATTTGTAAAATGTATAACACAAAAATTAGCTCATGAAATTTTCAGCACGTTTCACTCAATATTTACTTTTCAGCATATTTTCATTTATACACGAACTTTTTTCTTTCCTTTTTACACCTTTTCGAAAACTTTTTCCTAATGCCGCATTATAGCTTCCTGCCAATTTGGCAGCTTAACTACAAGGCTAATTACTTCTAAGTCGCATTCTTNTTTTCACTCAATATTTACTTTTCAGCATATTTTCATTTATACACGAACTTTTTTTCTTTCCTTTTTACACCTTTTCGAAAACTTTTTCCTAATGCCGCATTATAGCTTCCTGCCAATTTGGCAGCTTAACTACAAGGCTAATTACTTCTAAGTCGCATTCTTGGCCTTGCTATTGATTTATCACCACACCGCAGACAACTAAGTGTGTATGTCTGCCACTGCAGCATTGGCACCTTAGAACACTTTTCTTAGCAGACAATTCGCTAGCACAGGCGTTATCCTTGCAAGGTGGTGATGTAATTGCGGCAGCTGTGTTTGGCAAATTNCACTTCTAAGTCGCATTCTTGGCCTTGCTATTGATTTATCACCACACCGCAGACAACTAAGTGTGTATGTCTGTATGTATGTATGTAGCTATGCCACTGCAGCATTGGCACCTTAGAACACTTTTCTTAGCAGACAATTCGCTAGCACAGGCGTTATCCTTGCAAGGTGGTGATGTAATTGCGGCAGCTGTGTTTGGCAAATTTCACTAAAAATTAACAAAAAAACATTGTAAAGCAATTTCATTCCGCTTAGCACTTTTGCAAAATTTTCAGCAATATACACAATTTTTATTCAATATTTTCGCTGCTGCTCGAACAGCCACCGCACAGGACACTCATCGAAAAGGTACTGTGCTCTGTGACTTGTCGACGTTGTGCTGGAGAAATATGTGCCTAAGCGAGGCGTTAACTACCCGTTTGCCTCAGCTGCTATACTCACACGCGGCAGCAAAAAAAAAGCGCACCAAACAAAAACCTCTTTTGGAATCTTTTTGTTATCCTTGCTATTGTGCAATACCCTCTCTCTCCGCGCCGCGCCACGCGCTATGCAATGCCATATTCAAATTGCTCACCGCTCATTCGGTGTGTATTTTTTCGCCAGCTATGCATGTAAGTATTTTGGAATTTACGCGTCCATTCGCACCCGACTCGACACGGCAACTGAACGTATCAGCGACACTGTAGAGTAGACGCTGCCGAGGCCGTCGATTGGTCGCCTGAGCGCGCGGCAAAACGAGTCCTTTTTTTGTGTTGTGTACAGCAGTGCTGAGTTTCGAAAAGGTATGAACGTACCTACTAAGATATACTTAGTACTCTTACCTAAAACATGAAAAATGTGCCTAACCAATAAATTCGACTCTACTGTGGCTGGCAAACTAAATCGACAGTGCATTGGGGTCTAAGCGGATTACTCGTTAATGCTGCCTAGAGTCCACAAAAATATCTCTATTTTGGCTGGATCGGCGGTATGCTTTGTGAACGATATTGCACCGTAGGTCAGATTAGGTTAGGCTGTGCTGACTGCCTTTGATACTATTTAATTGACTTGAACTTGTTTCTAACTGTTTACCCAGAAATAGAATCCAATGAAGCGTTGCAGTTCGCAGATTTTCGTCGAGCTTACGACCAACAGATAGTGGAAAAGGTACTGGTGGAGCTCCGGTACCCTGATCACGATAGTGCTTGAATATTCCGACGTCGTCAGAAAACTTGAAAATACTCTGGGCAAATTTTCACTAAGGAAACCCACTCGGCGCATGTGAGCCTGTAGAAATTTCGGGCAGATGGGGGGTCTTAGTCTTAGCAGCGTCAACCCGTTTTTGGCTTATGCCCCCCTAGTTTGGAAAATAAAACATTACGAAAATTGCCATACTACGCTTCAACGAACTCTAAACCCAACGTACTTGCTTTCGGTCAAAGAGCAGTAGCTGCGAATATCTGGCGGTACATTGCATAAGAAGTCTCAGGAAAAACAGTTTCTCCAGTATAAAAAAAAAGATGTGGGCTTCCTGACACCATGTCAAAAGGAATAACACTGGTCTACAAATTTCAACTTTTTTTCTGCGAATAAGACGGGACCTGGTGTTTCTGAACGGATTTTTCGTGCTGAACACGAATCCGGGGTCAAAAATGTCCCATCACGTCACGTTTTCGAGAAAAAAGGGGTTGAAACCCCTAAAAACAGCGTTTTTGGCCATTTTCGAAAAATTNATCCAAGTATAGGAAGCCTAGACATACGAATTCTTTCGCTGCAATATTACCAGAACTTAGCTATCAATTGAAAGGGATCCATAAACCGAGGCATCAACAGTCTCGATTTGCGCCAGAACAAACCAGCGCAGAAGTATTTGATTGGCTAAAGAGGCTATAGGAGAAGTGATCGTTGTTAACGAGGATACCCTAGCATTCTTTCAGCTCTCGGACCTTTACCCCGCTCTTAATTGAATGACTATTACCCCAGCCTTTGACGAAATCCACCTTCTTATAAGGACGCATTTATGTAGAGTATTTTTTTTCAAACCGTCCCGGCCCTCTTCAATACTAGGATCGCCTTCTAACTTGTCAGAGTGAATTTTTTATATCCTTTAGCTCTACGAAATCACTGACAAGAGAAAGGCTTTGACTCGACATAAAGCAATTTAGGTTCAACTGATCTTCTTCGCAGAAAACACTCTCGATCGATGTGGTACCTTAGACACTTTTTGAGAAATTGACAGGTTTTGAGTACGCCACCTTTGAAGTGGCTACGCGATACATAAATCGGATTGATGAGAGGCTAAGCCCGTCTTTCCCTGAGTTTCTTCTATGGTGTTGTCTGGCCTTGCCAAAAAAAAAAAATACGAGTAAAAATCGTTTAGCTTTACTTAGGTAACCTGATATCATGCCCTGGGGCTCATCATTTCGAAACACAGAACATCTTATAGATCGCAGTGCCCATCGTTCTCAGTGCTATTCGTTTTGGTTAACTAATTTGCGAAGAATTTGTTACTCAACTATCTGCACACACAGCAGTGGTTGGAAGGAAGCGTCGGTGAAATTTTAAACGGATGGATCGAAGTTTGACAGAAGGGTCAGTGGAGAGGTCTTTTCCAGGGAGCTCTCCATAAACCTTAAATTCGGGGTTCCAGATCACTGTAGTGTTTTAAGGAGAAGGTAGCTACTACTAAGAATGCAGTCGATTCGTTGCTGTTGAACGCGATGACGGTAAGTGAGGTTAACATCTACTCACGCAGCTAGGCGGAGCCCTGTGCGCACTTACGGTACGCTCCAAACTTTTTGGGGAATGCCTTGATTCATTTTCGATTACGTCAGACGATATGCATATATGCGGGACATAATGATATCGCAGGAAACTGGTTAGAGACGGCACCCTTGAGGAAGTATCGTCAAAAAAAGAGAGAGTGGGAGTTCGCTTGACTACTTGTGGATTCCTCCTGGAACTATTGGCCTCGGGTCAACTCCGCGTACACTGGGTGAAAACCAGGGCATGTGCTACTGGGAGGTCCTTAGGCTTGGCAAGCCGGATCTCTCGATTCTGGTAAGTGTACTGACAGACCACTTATCCAATCGTCAAACCCATTTTATAGCAGCTGCATTAAGAACGAAGTGGTGGAATCGTCTCAACATTTCTTCTTAAACTGTCCAGCTTTTGTTAGATTGCGGCTTAGGCACTTGGGTTTGTACTTTCTGACCAGTCCGAAGAAGCGCTACGGGCCTAACATCTGCCGCCTTTCTCGCTTAAACTTAACAATTATCGTTGGCAGTGGTATAACAAAGGACCAACGAACGTGACATAAGTGAGCCCCTTGACAGGGGGCAACCACCTTAATCTTATCTAGGTACTTTTTAAAGACGATAATATGCTCTGAAGTTGCCATACATGTTTGGCTGAGGACTAGATGAAAGGTCATAGAATAAATAAATTACGCACTCAAAACTACTTTGTTTTGTGAGACCGTACCGAATTTCAATTGTACCTAATGCGCTTTTTAGCTAAAAAGGGACAGAAAATGTTACAAATGTGCCCATAAAATCAACGCTGCTGCATACTTAAGTATATATATACATAAATGCATGCGAGTATGTGCATGACGAAATCGCGCCGCTTACCAAAATACTTGTTTACATATGCTCCAACGTATAACTATGACTGTATCGAGTTATGCATAATACTTAATGCAAGTATGAGTGCGTGCGTGTTGTGTGTGTGGGTGCATTTCTCTTGCTGCATAGGAAATGGAAAATTTTGCACCTTTGCTCGCTCGCGCGCTCGCCTTCGTTTGCTGCGTGCCTGTTTCTTTCGCCTTAGCTGCGTTTGTGTGTTTTCTATCCACAACTTCGGACACGGCTCACAAAAGTCATTTGAGGAAAAAGGTAAATAAATGCGTGTATGCTTGTGTATGTTAAACACAATACTTGTTTGCACTTCGTATATTTTTTTATCATCATACTTGTGCCATTAAATATTGCATACAAATTTACTTAGCAGATGCTTAACGATGGGCAGGCAGCGAAAAAAGCAAGTGAATGAAGACGGTCGACAGTAATTATCCTTAAGACATTTTTCTTCGGCTACACATTTTACGTGCGCGTACACACACATACTAAATAGTAGCGAACATACAATTCTGTTCTTGTTTGTGTATTACCTATAAATATATTAATTTAATTTCTCATACAACAACTCTTCCGCCCCTAATGCATTTTAATTTTATTTCTTCTACAATTTTCTTCTTCCTTCACTATTCCTTTTGCTCTTTTAAAATATTCGCTCAACTAAAGCATCCTTTAGCAACTTCATTTGCATTTCCATAATTCTTGGTTTACATTTATTATTCATTGTATGTATTTGTATGCGTCAATTTGCATGGCTTTAAAAAAATTTGCTTACCACCAATTTTGCAACTTTTTCTAGTCGTACCTATTTTCTTTGAGACTTTTAAAAACCACATGTTGAGTCCTTTTGCTAGCCTCGTTTCTCACGCGAATTGCATGCATACGTACATATACACTCGTGTTAAGCTTGTTAGGACACTACTGCATATTAAATAATGCAAATATTTCATTCTCAAGAATGCGCTGACGTCACCCACTGGGTTGGCGTCAGACAATTTAGAAAAAGAGATGACTTGAAAGTCCAAAAGCGGTTATTATCTGATGTAGGGA